ATATCCACATGTACTGTTCATGCTTGTTTATGTGCTGTTTTGGTGATTTTGCTCTTTTCTGTTTAGATTCCGTCGTTTCCGGAGAGTCCGTTTTCGCAGGAGAAGAGTTTGAAGAGTTCCAAGGCCAACAAGGCAAGTCACACAGATCCCAAACAACCCTTTGAGCATGTTGATCCCGTTTAAAGCTATTGTTTCTATTCAACTATTGCATTTATTTTTGAATGTCATTGGGTAGAATTAACCTATTCTTTGTTATAGCCCTTTTGTTCTTGATTACTTTATTCCTTGATACCTTGGGTTAATATAACTTGACTAGTTGAGCTTTATATATATTGGTTCAACTAGATATTAGATATAATTGCTTAGCCCTGCTTAGAAACATTAGCTCACTATTGGGATAACTCTTGACTCACTGTTAGTTAATGATGGCTTAATGATAGCTCACGATGGTCAATCGTGATTGGTTAATTAATTAATGTGCCAACTAAAACCTGATAATGGTGGGTTGTGAGCACATGGTTTTGATGGTCGTGCTCATGACAATTAAGGACCGGTTCACGAGTTTCGGTTGTGAAACATTAACCGTGCCAACCACAAGCCAGCATGGGCAACGGCTTTATCTTTTGTATAGCATGGTTCATTGCGGAGCACCAGACTGAGAAGTGGCGGAGATAAGCCCACGGGGGTCGCTGGGGAGTCCATGCCTTGTTTATAAGGGGGTGATTATGATCCAGGAAAGGTGCACTGTAGTGGATTGTGTTGTACGAGAGGTATTGTCACAATTCCTTTCCAAGGTACCGTGGTGGTATTGAGGCACATGGTGACATGATGTGGAGTTGTGCCTTGTGGGTACAGTGGTACACCTCTGATCAGAGTAAAACTATTCGAATAGCCGTGCCCGCGGTTATAGGTGGGTCTAACAATGTCTTTCGTGATTAGTTTCACACTTCTCACCATAATAAAAGATGCTATAACTGGTAATAATTTGTTTAGCTCCTGGTTTGGAATGGTATATTCCTGGTTTGGAGATAGATCTGTACAGCCGGGTATGGTTGTTCAGGATGGTTGGGCCTGAGCTGCATGGGTGTGCTGTTTAGTGTTGATTAAAATTGATGATTAATTACTCTACTGTTTTATAATTCTCAAATCTTTGCTAAATGCTGCTTTTGCAAATGAAACCCTACTATGCCATCCTTTGTTATCCTGTGCACTTGCATATTTGCTGCGTGGCTTGCTGAATATGTCATATACTCACCTTGCAATCATTCATCAGAGAAAGAGTTCTACAATGATGCTGATGGTGTGAAGGATTAGGTGTAGCCTTGGTCAAGCTGCTTGTGGAGTGGAGCCGTCTGCGCCGTTTATTTTATTTTCCGCTGCTTAGATCTTTATTGATTGAGAGGAACTATCTACCTCTGTAATGACATTTTAATCGCTTATTAATTAGAGTAATAATTGTACTCTATTATCAATTTGTTATTGTGTGCCTCGGCTGATTCCTGGACGAGGGTTCACACACATGTAAGCGTTTGGAATTTTGGATAGAAATTCCGGGCGTGACAGTGTCCGCCAGGTGACATCCAAGGAGCAGGAGCAAGAGCACCATTGTCATGCATGCCCCACGCGCATGGATGCCATGCTTGTTTATTCGCCGGAGTGCGTGCTGGATACCCATTTCCCAAACGGAAAGCCGCACAACTTGCATGCAATTCTTTGGTAGGGCCTTTATGGCATTCGCTAGACTAGACCAGGAGGAGGCGATCAACTAGGATGCAGGATGTGCACCACGACTTCTTCCCCCTCCAAGCCCAACTGGCGCTCGACTCTCCTGCAACCCCCACCCACTGGGGATGCCGCTGTTGCCGCGCTCGCACAACGTGCACGGCCGGATTCATTGGCCTCAACAACATCGACCACGGCGGACGACAAGTTTGGGCCGACACCCGGTACGGCGTCGCCGATGCAGAGCACGAGCGCGTGCACGCCGAGACCTTCGCGCTGGCACCACAGCCGCACCAGCAACACAGGCCGGCCGACCACGCGGCCCGGTTCGACAACAGCGACCCCTTCCTGGGCACCCCACATGGCCATCGACGTCTACGAGGCGGACGCTCTCGCCGTCGTCGATCCCGTTAGCGGCATCCAAGGCGTGGGGGTCCTGGTCAACCAGGAGCTCGATCGGCGGCTCGCGCACGGTGCAAGTGCAGCAGCAGCAGCAGCCGGCGTCCAACTTCCAGGACAACATCCTCCTCCTCAGCGGCGACCTCATCGCGAATGCCGGCCGCGAGGAAACCATCGTGTACGAGGCGGATCCGGACGCGCTCGCCGTGGACCTTGTCGACGATCGATCCGTTGGTGGATGAGGTCCTCACCATCGATGCCGGAGATATGGAGGCACTATTCGAAATTGATCAATCCAAGCCGTTTTTGAGGAACACCAGGAGAATCTGGAGCTGGAGAGGACGGAGAGGGCCAATGTTTTAAATAGCGGGTTAAGGCATTTAGCAGTTAGCTTCTCAAACAGTTATAGCGGTAGCTATAGCGGGCTAAATGGAGCTATAGCGGCTAAATTGTACATGAGAGCAAATAGCTAGAACCCTTCTTAAACAACTATAGCAGGAGATAGCAGTAGCTATAGCGGGAGATTTAACCCTGGAGAGGACGCTGATGCTCTCTCAGTCCCATCATACTGTAAGGCTGATGGGCGTACGTGTTTCACCCGTGAGATCTTATTGCCTTCTTCGTTTTTAATGTAAGTATCTCTTCATCCTCTTGGTTGCGTGTTTCACCCGTGGGATCTTGCCTTCTCAGTTTTTAATGTAAGTATCTCTTCGTCCTCTTGGTTTTGGTCACTGTGGTGCATTTCAGGGGTGTTTTGGACTTGATTGTTTCATTGGTTGGTCTTGTGGAATAAATAAACAAATTTTGCTTCTGATTTTATTAGACACAACAATTATTATTTCAGATTTTTTTTCATCTAATGTCCATGGTTCTTGAGTGCATGGACAATTAAAATTATATACCTGTTGCAGGCCCGGTCATTTTGCTAGTATATGCACAAATTTAATACTACCTCCGTTTTTTAATATATGACATTATTGACTTTTTGACAAACATTTGATCATTCATCTTATTTATTTTTTTTGTAAATATAAATTTTTTTAAGACATGCTTAAACAACATTTGATAACATTTGATGCTAAATCAACTCACAATAAAATAAATGATAATTACATAATATATCTATTAATTATAAAGTTTCTATGCGTAAACTTTTCTACATATAAATATTCTTTTTCTAGACCGGAGTAGCACGTTGATAAATTCATTCTAAATTTATATGTACAGATTTCATAGGTATAAAATATGCATTTACATAGTTACTCGTACAGAGTATCTATCTATAAAATTTGTATAAGTATAAATCGATGTATAAATATGTATATAATTTCTATATCCTTTAGAAAAAGTAGTGGTGGTGATAACGAATTTGTCACCCCACCTACTTCTATTATAAATTCTGCAAATCATCTCTTCAAATCGCTAATATTTAAACAATCAAAATCTAAATTGATATAGAGCCACATATAAAATCAAACGGATAGCCACATGCCACATAGTTTCTGTAGCAAAACAACGGGTAACACGTTTCATGGGAATTTTTGTTGTTTATTTTGTTTTACTAGCAAATATACCCGTGCGTTTTAACAGGAGATAGCTATTGTGATTGACCATATCGCAGTGTGGAATGTAGCATCATTAGTTTTTACTATTAGTTAAAAAGACAATAGGCAATTATGTTCTTAACTCTGTTTTCGTTCAATTATGATTTTGTCCTTGCTTTTTAACTAAAGCTCAAGTTTGCCTCCATTTCATCAAGATGACTTAGCCGTGTTGTAAATTTAACACTATTTTTTTCTAAAGAATTTATGATTGTGGTTTTGATTTGACAAAAGTGTGTTTTGACACGAATTTTTTGCCAGCCTGAATTTTCATATATTTTAAATACGAATGAACGTCGGATCGCCATTGCAGTGATCAGCCTAGCGTAGTGGTCCTGAGACTCACCGTTGGCCATGCACATGCAGCTGAATTTTCCCTTCAGCGTGTGCTAGCATGTGTGGTGGACTCGCTCCGCGCTGACGAACCTTGTCTTGAGGCACTCCCACACTTGTTTCGCCGTCTTCTTCTTTGCGACCCGCATGAGGTGATCCTTAATTTGGAAGCGCCTGGAGCAAGTGCGACCGGCCTCACCTTGTTGTCAAATGCCCTAATCTTCCATCATCGCCTGCACCCAGATCACCTAGCTTGTGTAGTTGGTTGCAGTGAGTTGCGGGTAGAGGAAAGCACTCCCCGTGCTGCGTCTGTCGTAGTGACGATCGACATAGCTCTGTTATCACTTGTTGCCTAGAACCTCAATCACACCTTGCGGGCAGGGACTCTAGTTGCCCGGCAATGCCAAAGAACAAAGAACAAAGAACTTAATTTGGGACCAATCTTTGTGACTTTGTGTGTTTTCTATTGAATGGAACAAGAGTTGCGATACAATTTGTGAGGAATAATGTTTCCTCTCCTTTTTGTAGCAAAGTCTAAAATCAGAATCCAGCACACGTGCATGCACACTAGCTCGATTAATCTGAAAATTCGGAACACCACGCACACACGCTCTGATCGCGCTCCCAGCATCTAGCTCGCTCCAATCCTGTTATATATATTCCGTTTTCCCTGGTTTCTTAACAGTGAATCCGACTCGGACTTCTTGATCGATCGTCTCTTTTCTCGACGTACGCACGTACACAGACCGAATCGGATTAATTATTTGTGGGCGAGCACTGTCTATATATATATCACTCCGGTGGCCCAAGCGAGCGAGCCGACAAGCCTAACTTGCCACAGATCGATCTCTAGCTGGATTTTTCAACGAAAACCCCTCGCTGACCTCACGCCGCGCGCAGCCGTCGTACGTACGTCGTCGTACTCGATCGTCTTCGACGACGGCAATGGCCGACCCGCCGCCGCCGCACCATCCGCCGTGCGCCGCGTGCGCGCACCAGGGCCGGCCCAGCTGCCCGGCGGGCTGCCCGCTGGCGCCCTACTTCCCGGCCGACCGGCCGGAGCGCTTCGAGTACGCGAACCTCCTCTTCGGCGTGGACGGCATCCTCCGCCGGCTGGAGGCGGCCGGCCCGGACACCGTGACCCGGCTCGCCACCATGGCGTCCATCGTCTTCGTGTCGGACGCGAGGGCCGCCGATCCCGTGCACGGCGCCTACGGCGTCATAAGGAACCTCCAGCAGGAGCTCGCCAGCGTCAAGGCCGAGATCGCCGCCATCCGGCAGAAGCAGCAGCAAGCCCAGCAGCCGCCGCCGGCGCTGGAGGACCCCCCCCCCCCCCCGGTCATTTTTTTCTCTTCTCCTCTCTAGTGTAGAGGAGAGAGATGTGCAACATTTTTTTTATTTTCTTCATACTTAGGAGCACGTAGGAACCAACCATGTAAAAAATAAACTTAAATGGACGGATTTTTCCAAAGCCCTACCAAAATAGGCGTCATTCAAGTGTCATTTCTTAAAATAGGCGTAACTTTCTCATACGGACTCGAAATCAGGCAAATAGTATATCTACGGACATCTACAGAAAAAATATATCCGAAGGAGAAAATTTTGTTTAGTTATTTTCAAATGGTGGGCATTATTGCTAGTATGTTCTAAAAAGGGTTTAATTTTAAAATTATTTAAATTGAAAAACTGCGCCGCCATGGACAGATCAACGCGCGCGGACGATCCCCGGTGGGGGACACCTCCCCAACAACCCGGAGTACCCCTGTCCCCCAGCCTAACAACTTGTTGGGCTGGACTGGGCTTGGCTGGGCTTCCTGGGCTGTCCGAATTATAATCAAAACTTTTTTTTCCTTTCTTGAGAGAAGAGAAAAAGACTACAACCCTTCTCGTCTCCCCCTTCCCTCGCCTCGCCATTGCCGCCGGCGAAATTTTCGCCTCCTTTCGCCATCGCCTCCGAACCTCCCCAAAATTTTTGCCGCCGTCACCACAGCTCTACTGAAAATAGGCGTCATTCGGGTGTCATTTCTTAAAATAGGCGTAACTTTCTCATACAGACTCGAAATCAGGCAAATAATATATTCACGGACATGTACAGAAAAAGTTACATTCGAAGGAGATAACTTTGTTTAGTTATTTTCAAATGGTGGGCATTACTGCTAGTAATTTCTAAAAAGGATTTATTTTTAAAATTATTTAAATTCAAAAATCGCGCTGCCATGGACAGTGCAACGAGCACGGACGATCCCCGGTGGGGGACACCTCTCCAACAACCAGGAGTACCCCTGTCGCCTGGCCTAACAACTTGTTGGGCTGGACTGGGCTGGGCTGGGCTGGTCTTCCTGGGCCGTCTGAATTATCCACAAAACTTGTTTTCCCTTTCTTCAGACAAAGAGAAAAAGCCTAGAACCCTTCTCGTCTCCCCCTACCCTCGCCTCGCCGTCGCCGCCGGCGAAATTTTTTCCTCCGCTCGCCGTCGCCTCCGAACCTCCTGCACCGACCCTTCGTTCCGCACAGATACTCCTCCCACCCACCCACCCCTAGGTGCTTGGTTGGTTGGGAGTCGGGGATCTCGTGGAAGCAGATGCGGCGCGGCGGCGGCGCGGGGGATTAGGGCTTTCTGCCCAATGGCGTGGCGGTGAGTTCTTTAGCATGTACGTTCGGCTTGTCTCTTTCCTCCGTGCGCTCCTCCTCTCACTCGCGCGCGCATGCGGTCGTGATGATGATAAACTTGGGATTAGTGACCTTAGCAAATTGCGCTTCACGAGGGTGCCTATAAATGTATTGGAAACGCTGCATGCTATGCCCGATTAGTTTGATGTTCTTTGATCCAACCAACGGTGATCCTGTTTATGTTTGATTCTTGAGGCTTTAGACTAATCGATTTGAAGCAGAAATGCCTCTTCGTTTCATTTCACGGTCCTCTATCTCCAACGGGATGGCACCAGGCTCTCTGGCACCGTCCTCCTGCCGACGTGGCGGGGCCGTGCTGAGGTGGCAGGGGGAGCACGCCAGCCACATTGGCGTCCCCCTTCCCCGCCATTTTTTTCCTGTCTTCTCCTCTCTAGTGTAGAGGAGAGAGATGTGCAACATTTTCATTTTTATTTTATTTTTTTCACACTTAGGAGCATATAAGAACCAACCATGGAAAAAGTAAACTCAAATGGACGAAATATGTGACTTGTAGATTTTTCCAAAGCTCTACCGAAAACAGGCGTCATTCGGGTGTCATTTTTAAAATAGGCGTAACTTTCTCATACGGACTCAGAATCAGGCAAATAATATATCCACGGATATCTACAGAAAAAGTTACATCGAAGGAGATAATTTTTTTTTAGTAATTTTCAAATGGTGGGCATTATTGCTAGTAAGTTCTAAAAAGGGTTTATTTTTAAAATTATTTAAATTGAAAAATCGCGCCGCCATGGAAAGTGCAATGCGCGCGGATGATCCGCGGCGGGGGACACCTCCCCAACAACCTGGAGTACCCCCGTTCCCCGGCCTAATGTAACATCCTGAAAATTCCCGACAATAAAAATCACTAAAATTTCAAACTTTTTAAAACTTTTGCATCATACTGGTTGTTATGATTGCTATTGCTTGCCAAACCTTAAATAATCACAAAGAAAGCAAATCCAAACAAAGGGAAGGTTAATTACTAATTTAATTTATAGATCAAATATTAAATATTCGAACCATGCTGATAGCTTGATGCCATGATTAGCTAAAAGAAACAGTAAAATCAAATCTAATTCATATGAATCCAATCTCACATGAAATATAGGAACACATGAAATGATGATCACCACTATAATGATCGTGTTTATAAATAAGTAATTCACCGGAATATATAGATTGATACTTAGACCATTTCATCGAGTTCTTCATGACGTGAAAATCACTCATATAAAATAATGGTCATATAAATGAATTAAGCTTTATATATAAATAAGACTATGTGAGTGTTTAATTAAACAATTAGATTAATGTTGTACCGAGTATTTATAGAATGACTAGATCCACGTAAAATACATTGTTATACAAATAAGTTCATTCAATGTGCTATTGTAATAATAATGGCCACATTAGGATATTTTAATTAATTTTGGAACCCTCAAAGCCTCCAAAATTATCTAGGTTAAATTTTGGAATTAGACCTCATTTAAATAATGCAATAGAAAAATATATAAATAAATAAATATGGGTAATAATTTTGGATAAATTTTCATGAGGATTTAGTGCTTAAATTTAGTTAACATATAACTAAGTAAAATTAGAGTTTATAGGATTACAATTGTATAGGAGATAGGCTAAAATAGGGTTTAATTAGGGATATCACTATTCATTGCACATGAGGTGTTTGATGGAGTTCCTAGCCACCCTAGCCCTCTTCCTCCCCCTGCCCGCACCGCGCCTAGCTCGCCATCACCCCATCGCGCGCCCACCTCGAGCCCCGCCCGCGCTGCCGCACCGCACCTTGGCCGTGCCGTCGCCGCTACCGCGCGCCGCGCGCGTCATGTCGCCGTCGCCGCGCCGCCAAGCCATGTGCCGCTGCTGCGCCGCCGTCCCGTCGCCTCGCGCCCCGCGCCGCGCCGCCCGCCGTTGCGTCGCCGCTGCCGCCTGTCGCGCGTCGCCACGCGCCGTCGCCGTCGCCGACGCGTCCCGTCGTCGCTCCGAGCCGCGCACCGCCGCTGCCGCGCCGCGCGTGCCGCTCGTCTCGAGCCCCTCCCCTCCGCGCGCGCTGTCGCCGTCGCTCCCGCGTCGCGCCCCGTGCCGCGCCGCCTCGCGCCCCTGCCGCGCCGCGCGCGCCGCTGTCGACCGTCCCGTTGCCATCGCGCCCCATGCCGCCGCGCACGTCCCATCCGCCATCACTGCACCGGCCACCTCTCCCCTCCGCCCCTATATAAACCCATGCCTCCCCTTCCCTCCCCACACCTCCCAGCCCCCACGAGCTCGTCCTTCCCTCTCTTCCTTTTCTTTTTCCTCAGATACATTTCGTCGAACACCTTGTGGGCGTGCTTCATTTTCCTCTCTACTCCGCCACCGCGACATCGAGCATCACCGTCCCGCCGTCTCTCGGTAAGTCCTCACTCCCATGACTCCTCCTAATCCTCTAGGAACTACCTCCCCCAACTATTTCATCGATTAGGGCCATAATCGTGACAAGCCCGAGCTCCGAAGCTCCGCCCGTGGAGGTCACCGTGGACATGCCATCCGGGGGGGCTCTCCCTTCGATTTTTCTGGAAAAACGGAACCCTCATGCGCCATAGATGCTCACGCCCTCACCAATTTGGTCGCAAACCATTCCGTTCACCATAGCTGCTTGCAGCCAAGCTCGGTCATGACGTTGCCGTGCCGCAACGCTCGCCCCTGCTCCGCCTTGCGCCGCCGCCGCCGGTGGAGGGCCGCCTGAGCTCCTCCGCACATCCCCTGGACGCCGCCGTGCCGCCCCGGCCCCGTGCCCGTCGCGCCCAGCCGTGCCCTGGTGCTGCCTCCCGATGGCTGGAGGAAGAAGACGATAGGAAAAGAACGAGAGAGAGAAAGAGAGCAGCCGAGCCACTGACAAGACGGGCCCACTCCCTATTTTTCTCTAACAAAAATAATTCGGTAGAAAAGATAATAAAACCCCTGACCCCACCCGTCAGTGACTCTGATAGGTTCCGGATTAAAATAAATCCGCTATGAACAGTACTGTTTCGCAATTATTCAAATTTGAATCTTTACACTAGCATAACTTATTCATTTTAACTCGGATTTGAGTGAAACTTGAACCTAAATTTATCTAAATTCATAAGCTTTCCAATGGTATATAATTCACTATTTGATAAAATACATTTATTAAATAATTAATACTAAGATAATGCATAATAGTTAAAAATGTGCTAATAAATAAAATTGATATTGTACTATAAAGTAGATGTCAAATAATTGTCTTTAACACGCTTTTTCACTGTAAAACCTATGTAAACTAATTAGGAGCATTGTTTCAAATTAATTAAAGCATAGGAAATACTAGTGCCATTTATTAATATATGTCAATATATAATTATACTCCTGACGTCCAAATTGTATAAATAATGTTTAGCCTTGTACTTTGTGACTAAAAGTTGAACACACGTAGATGAGTCTTTAACTTGTTTATGAGAGATAATAACAGAGCTAGTGTGACTAAAATCACCCGCACGAAATTAATTAACGGTATTCCCTATACAGTAGTATATGTTTAGGTTGGAAATCGACCCTTAAGTTGTATAGACGGTAACTCACTCATAAATCCACTTAAAATCACATGTACTGCGTAGCTCGTAGTAAATAGCAACTATTCAAATAAATGATTCAATATTAAGATATTGTGCACACACCTATACTGTACATCCCATTATAGCTATGCGGTATAGTATTAATTTGCTTATTGCATACATTAAAT